ATACACAATGCCTGGTTGTATACTGGTTACAGTTAAACAAATCATAGCACCATTAATTAATTGTTCATTCTAAGATATCTTGGAAGAACAGCCTCTTGGTAGAATGTGATCCATTCTGGTGGAAAATAGATATTAAAGACCTGTCATGTTCCTAAGCATGACCAGGCATGTACGAAAGCACCAAACGTCAACATTCATACGTGTCAATCAAGACACAAAACAGTGATTGTATATGAGTGAACATTCATAGCAACGTCAACATGTCTGCACAAACCGCCCGCTCATTTTCTCAGTACTCTGGACTGAACTGTCTTTAAAAGTCAGCATGAAATGAAACAAAATTTCAAATTTGCCCTAATTTAGCTAAACGCATGTTAGAGACCTCATTTGAAGCCGTTCATCTGTTCATGACTTCTCCAATTATTTAGTTCGCTCAAAACGCTTCTCAAAATCCATTTGTCCATCTGATAAGTGATTATATTTGGATGTACGTGACAATACATCGGAAACCTTGATACTTTGTTTCTTCTGTTTCATTGCAACTTCATATATTTCTTGAATTCAAATGTTCCAAAATGCGGCCGCCCATTTGCTCACGAGTAGCCACAAATATGACCACATCACACCAATATTGCGATCACTACACTGGTTGCCGGTTAATTTCCAAATAGACTATAAAATGTTACTCTTGGTTTATAAAACATTGCATAACTTAGCACCACTATATCTTTCTGATCTGATCACAATTAAGGCCCAAACCAGATCGCTTAAATGGCTGACTCCCATTTATTGCAAATGCCTTGAACTCGTCTCAAATGTGGGGTGATAGAGCCTTTGCAGTTGTGGGTCCGAAACTATGAAATAAGTTACCATTAAAAATCCGAATAGCACCCACTCTATCTATTTTTTAAACGATGTTAAAGACTCATCTTTGTTTAAGTGCATTTAATCTTGATTAATGGCAGTTGCAGGCTATACTAAATTGACTTTTACTTAAAAAAAAACTTTTACTGTTGTTACTATTGTTTTATATGGTTGTTTTTATTTCAGGGTATTGCTGTTTTTTTTTTTTTACCTGCTACTGCTATTGAACAGCACCTTGGTCGACCAAAGGTTGTAATTAGGTGTGCTCCAGAAATTAGCTTGATTTGATATATACTGATGTAAGATATGCAGCAATATTAAAAGTGCAATTTTGCACGTATTATGTCCATATATAAAATTAATGTTGCATTTGTTTACCCCACCCTCCTGACAATAAAGAGATTACGGGAAACATTTAAAATAGCCCACCTACATCCTGGAACTGTGCCGAGTGGAATTCTGCGAATACGGACCCTCTGGAGGGTGACCGGATCGCTTTCATCACCGTGACTGAAACATTTCAATTGAGCTTGGCAGATCAGCATATAAAGTGTTCCAGGAACAAGAATGGTGCAACACATGATAGTAGTAGCTTGTTCTTTTTAAGTTGCATAATCTGATTATATTTCAGATGTGAGATAAACAGGAGGATTACACAAAGTAATAATAAAACAGCAAAGAGGATCGAGAGAGTGTGCTGGACAAGATTAAAACGTGGTGAGCTGGCAAATGTGTGTGAGAGAGCCTTAAAAATGTATCAAATCTGAAAGAATGCGTAAAGCAGAGAAAAATGCAACTTTTTTTTAAGATTAAAGTACATAATTTGACACTAGAGGCACGATCTATCACTGCAGGAGAATGGTGAATCAATAAAGTCTCACCACTTGTACACCTTAAGAAGAAAACTTGCCAATTAGTCTAACATTTTTAAACAGACTTAATTTTTATATCGAGTTTTAAAGGCAGATCATTAAATAAACACACAGCATTATCATGTATTCATTGCAGAGAGTAGGAGTAGGTGCTGCTGTATTGTCTTCTATGATATAGCAGTCACTCCCTCTCTCTCTCCCCTGTACAGTCACAACAGCATGCTCAAAAGTAACAAAGGAACGCCTTTATGATATCAATTCTTCTAAACTCTCTTATTAAAACAGAGGGGACCAGTGACCTATTAACCATAGTGATACAGCTTCTTGTTATTTTTGCACTTGGACATTCCAGCCTTTGCATTGAGATTGATACAAGATACTGTTGTGTTCATTGCTGTTTTTTATCTTCATCTAAGATAACACATTCAGTCTTCATTTTTTTCCTTTGTACTTGTACTTTCCTTGAAACCTCAGGTTCTTCAGAATATATAGTTTAAGTCAGAATTATAAGCCCCCTTTGAATTGTTTTTCTTTTTAAAATATTACCCAAAGGATGTTTAACAGAGCAAGGAAATTTTCACAGTATGTCTGATAATATCTTTTCTTCTAGAGATAGTCTTAATCGTTTTATTTAGGCTAGAATAAAAGCAGTTATTAATTTTTTAAAAACCATTTTAAGGACAAAATTATTAGCCCCTTTGAGCAATTTTCTTTCAACAGTCTACAGAACAAATTGTTATTGTTACACAATAACTTGCCTAATTACCCTAACCTGCCTAGTTAACCTAATTAACCCAATTAAGCCTTTAAATGTCACTTTAAGCTGTATAGATGTTTAAATGAGATTGAATGGAGTCAAATCTGAATGCAAACTTGTAGCTAATAGTAAGAAAGGAGCAGGGTTCAAGTCAATGGTCTCAAACTCAATTCCTGGAGGGCCGCAGCTCTGAATAGTTTCTCTCCAACCACCTCCAACTCACACCTGCTTAATAGTCTATAGTAGTCTTGAACACCTTGATTAGTTGGATCAGCTGTGTTAGATTAGGGTTGAAGCAAAACAGCTGCGGCCCTCCAGTAATTGAGTTTGAGACCCATGGGTTAAGTGGACCAAATGATTGAAGATGTCTGGCAAATGTCACAAAGTAAACTTGTTTTACTCCAAGATGGATATAATCTTTATGATGCATTTAGAAAGTAGTTGGGGTGAATATCCATTTAATTTCAGCAAAATTAAAGCTATGCTGATGCTTTAAATTAGTGTAACGGAGGCCAGCTAACAAAGTGCTATGCAGGTAAACCTTACTCCTATGACCTCTAAAGGTGCTCTAGCGACAGATGCTAGAGGCCATAGTCTTTAGACTCCTTGTTAGAGCAACTGACTCCCTAACAAAGAATCACCGCTCCCATCTCAGACCGGGCTGGGTGCAGTAGGACCAGTGGGTTACACTTGGAGGCTCGTGAGGGAGTGAGGTTTAGGGGGGTGAGTGTAATGGAGGCCAGCTAGCGAAGTGCTATGCAGGCAAACCTCACTCCTCTGACCTCTAAAGGTGCTCTAGATGCCATGGTCTTTTGCCTCCTTGTTAGAGGAACTGACTTCCAAACAAAGAATCACCACTTCGATCCCAGCTCAGACCGGGTTGGGTGCAGTATAGGACTGGTTTGTTACATTACATTAAAGAAATTAAGTTTGTCCATTAATATATTGATTATTCTATGCCTGTTTGTTGGCAGCTACCTGTAGGAGTCATGCGGGGTCATGTTAAAACCGGCACACACACTCCATAAACACAAACCTACTCTAAAGACCTGTGCTGGAATGTGTCATATTTAAAACTGGAGGTAACACTGGAGCAAAGTTCAGCATAACGCTGTTAGACATTTTTCCAAAAATGTACAGTACTACCCTACTCAACAGAGAGCAGGGAAGGTGTGCTTATTTGTGTGTACTCGAGAACTGTGCTAATAGCAGTTGCTCATAAAACATGTTTGACTGACAGATAATGTTTTTCATAGCAGTTTGAGAAATATGATCATGCACATCCACACCCCTGAATGCTAGACGAGTCGGTGTGCAAACAATTCCACGCTGAGCTGGATTCCACATATTTCGCCGTTGCCACAGACCAGCCAGTAACTCTCCTTTCACTATTATAATTCATGGCTATTTACGGCCAATGGGACAGGCGAGCTGGGCCTCCTGCCGCAAACTCAGCCCTTGACCTTGTGTCCATAACCCTTCCATGCACCCCCTCCCCCAACTCGCCCTGGCTCTGTAAGTGAAAGGCCCATATGTCTTGTGCTGGCCGCGGCCCATGGTCATGACATTCCCTTTGAAGGCAGTCCTGGCCGCTGACTGCTAAGGAGCAGCTCGCGCCATTCTGAGTTGTTATGCAATTCCTAATGCCATTCAACACCTACATAAACAGTCTGGGCAGCTTCAAGCGCGGATACATTTACCGTGCCAAGTTTTACGTAAGCCAAGCTGTTTGGATATGAACATAAAGACATTTGGAAATATGGACATTTGTAAGGCTTGGCTCTGAAGATATTGTTTTTTTGAGGGGGTTTAATCATAATTGCATAACAAAAGAGACATTCACTTGATAATGATAACTGTAAAGTTTTGTTAAACATTCTAATTCGAAATAAGAAAGTCCAAAGTACAACTATAAATATACAACACAAAGAAAATATATAATTGGAATCATAATGTGTTTTAAGATCATCAATCCAATATATCGTGAGTCAATCCAAAATAAACAGAACTCAAAGAGCTCGAGTATTTACAGTGGCAGCTGACATAACAGCAGCGTATGCTTACACTTAAGAGAACATCATGGACACTAATATAGCTTTAGCTCTTAGTGTGAACAGCTCTGATGATCAAAACAAACTAATCAATTGATAAACATTTCTGTTATATTTAATCATGCATAATTACCTATTTATTTTTATGCTGGCATCTAAACAGTTTGTTTAGAAGTGACATCATGCTTTTTATTTCACAGTTGAGTCACGCGCGTATTAAACCTTGAAACCTTTCCAGTTTTCTGTGCGTGAGTAAGTAAGTATGGCCAAACATGCCTGAACATGTGTTTCTAGTTGTGATGCAGCACAGAGAATGACAGCACACCTTGTGACACAGGCAGCAGTTCTCAACCTTATTTCCTTCAATAGCACTTATTTTGTATGTTTGCTTAATCAGATACACCTCAAAGACATGGAAATGCATATTATTGGTGACTGGAGATGCACTGCGCTTACCTTCCAACCAGCTGAACTGTTGCTGTCGCCTTTGTCTTTGAAGTAGGGGACACTGCTGACCATCCAGTCATAGATCTGGGACAGTGTGAGTCTCTTGTCAGGGGTGCTCTCTATGGCTTTGGTGATCAGGTCGGCGTAGGACAGGTTGCCCCATGCATTCCTCCTTGAAGATGACTTCCTGGGAGTTTGCTGTTGACTGGCCACCTCTGGACTCGCTGTGGTTGCGGAAGCTGCCTGAGAAGAGAGTGGAGAGCCTGTGTTCTCCTGGCCGTTAATGGAAATTAGTTCTTCGGCCAGGCTTGGGCTGCCGTTGTCCTCTCCTTCACCCATGCCATTGGCATTGATTGTCATCGCGCTGTCATCCTCATCATCCTCTTCCTCTGGGATTATATCAGTGTCATTGGATGCAGGCTTAGCCATGCTGGACTCGGGCAGAGGCCAAGTGCATGATCTCGGCCGTTTCTGTGGCTCAAAATCTGGATCAATGGCAATGTCCAGAGAGGACAGTGGCTCCAGGGTTGTCTCTGCCATCTTTCCTAAAAGTCTTTTCTGTCACTCCTCTTTACTGTCTTGGTCGAAGTTAGATAGGCAGTGGGATGCGGTCACATTCGCATTCCATGAATGCACCTCTACTCTAAATGATGCTTAACGCTTCAACTAGTGCAAATCTTATTAGGAATTAACACCTCTCCTCCCTGTTTCAAAAAGAGAAAAACACATTATAGAGCTATTTTATAAAAACATCAATCTTTATATACATCTAAATCGCATTGACAAACGTACTAATATAACTACTAATACTAGCATTAAATATTAACATTCTGCCATCCGAATAAGGGAATCATTATTGAGATAGTAAATCCATTAAATATGTCATTCTGAAATGTGTCTCATAAACGCACCTACTGTAGAACGAGCGAGTGCGCGCGCACACGTCTGTGGTGGTACGCGCAACACTCACGTGAAAGTATAAACAAAGCTTAGCATGAACGCGAAGTGCTCCGGTTTCAGTTTAAATCAGCACTCGCTTGATGGCACATATTCTTGCTCTTTGAACTTTCATAATGATACTCGTTGACATATTTGAGACTGTTCATATTTCAGTGGACGGATGATATCTACACCTCTTATTGTGAAAGCGGAGAATTTAGGGCATCTATTTACACTGCGTAGCAATATTCTACATTATTCAGTACATTATTGATAATATAACTAACAGTTGATTGTCAGCCAAAAAGAAGAGCGTGCACAACAAATGGATTTTTTAAAAATAGCAATGTATTATACATCAATGAAGTGAGTTTTAAAATAATAAAGAAATGTATGAGACTTATAGGCTTGTTACAAATAAATACAATGAAATAAAATATTTCTTAAGGTGTGTGTGTGCACTGCACAATCTGCAGACATTAATCTCAAATGTGAGCCAAAATGTCCTCATACTGACAGTCCTACTATTCAGTATACATAATAATAACAACAACAAGTTTGACTAGAAATAGAATATTGACCTCCATGCAGACTGTACATGAATATATGTATCAAAATGCAATAGCTCAACACGTACCATTCATCCAGCGCCGTGTCTCCTCTCTGTGTCGCACTCCAGTCACTTGGTGCACTGATGTAATTCAACTATATCTCTCCAGCGCACCTTGGACAAAGCGCCACAACGTCACTGCACACAAGCATCACCAGCAGTAACTCACTGTAGTGACAAAAGAACTGACCTGTCAGAGCCGCAGCGCGTTCAACGAGCTATTCAGCCAAAATCAGATCAGGACAACTACTATAACCAGGACAGAGCTACGCGTGCTCGTTAGCTGCAGTGATCATATCTGTATTAATTCCCAGATTAACTCAATGTCTCTTCGCTTTCCGAAATCTCTTTAACAGTTAAAGGTAAAGACGCATCTGTCGCGCATTGTCAGTGGCTGCTAGTTAGAGCGCGCGCCGATGCCGATGTCACGGACGGTACATTGAGGAAAAAAATCCCCTCCAGAAAGCTTCTTCACCTATCTATCTATCTATCTATAGGCACAAGAGGACTTTCTGGTCTAATCGTCTGTCAGCGCTCTAGCGAGCTCAACTTAGAACTGAGTGACTGGAGGAGGGCGAGAAGAGAAGCGCAGCCTCTACCGCTGACAGAGCCCTGCCCCCTGGATTCCGCGTACGGGATCGCCTCTTAAAGGGCCACTGCTCCCTCCTAGAGCACAGCTGCCATCAGGCGAGAGGACATGTTCAAACAAGTCACTCCACAGCACTGACAGAGGGAGCCTGTATCACTTTATCTGATTTCCAAATATAGATTCAGTTGCTAGAATTTGTGGTTCAGGCATGCAAACAACGTTATCTGGGTATATATCAAAAATGTGCTATAGAATAGACACCCTTGTCCACGTAACGCAAGTAAATACATTGTGCAGTATTGGTTATAACCAAAGGCCTGAGAAAATACATGCGATTAGTAAAATCAGAGTGTACCTTCAGGATAATGACATAGATTGAAGACAGCATTCTCATGTAACGCATGTGGTAACGTTTTTAGTGTTAGATGGTGGGTTATAACCAGGGGCGGATTTAACCAATAAGCGAGGTCAGCAGCCGCTTAGGGCCTCTGGAAATCTGGGGCCCCCCAATAAATATCTAGAAGTATAAATTATACCTATAAACTATATATAACATTGTTTCCTAACATATGGTGAGAGTTAAACAAGTACAATTTTAACATAATTAAATATTAATTAGTATACAATCAAATTTAATATTATTATAATAATGTAATGTAATAATAATATTACAAAATAAAATATCCATCATGGACCACCCCAGCAGTAAAACTTATATTAAAAAAACTATACGTTTAATTTTAGCTGTAAATTCACAATAAAGATAATAATCATTTATAATGTAGAGACTACATTAATTTAAAATGTAGAAAAGAAGATTGAGTGATATAACAAACCACAATATAAAAAAATAATAGTAAAAGTAGGAAGTGTGCATTTCAGAACTTGGGCCCCATGGCTGGAATTGCTTAAGGCCCAAAAATCACTAAATCCACCCCTCGTTATAACATAGGTGTCAAACTCAATTCCTGGAGGGCCGCAGCTCTGCACAGTTTTGCTCAAACCCTGATCAAACACAGCTGATCCAACTAATGAAGATGTTCATGACTCTTTTGAACACCCCGATTATTTGGATCAGCTGTGTTTGACAGGAATGGAACAAAACTGTGTAGAGCTGCGGCCCTCCAGGGATTGAGTTTAAAACCCATGGGTTATAATCATATGACTGATCTTCAAAGTAATTAAAAAGTCATGTTTTTATTTTCCTGTCATATTCTCTGTTCCGTTTAAGTGTTATTTGATTTCTTCTGTGAAACAAGGTTTGATCCTAGGCAGAATGTTCTTTCTGGATTTTAGTTCTACACCACAAAATTCAGCTTCAAATCAGTGTTAATTTGATTGATTCTTCAATCAATCATACATTTTTCCCTTGGCTTAGTCCCTTTTTTCATCAGGGGTGGCCACAGACACCCATACACACTCTTTAACACACATACTGCCAATTTAGTTTATTCAATTCTTCAACACCGCATGTCTTTGGACTGTGAGGTAAACCGGAGGACCCGCCGCCAACATGGGAAGAACATGTAGACTCCACACAGAAATGCCAACTGACCCAGCCGGAACTTGAACCAGTGACCTTCTTGCTGTGAGGCAAGAGTGCTAACCACTAAGCCACCATGTTGCCTTCAAAACAATCAAAATGAATATGTCTTCATATGAATTCACCACTGTTGTACTTTTTACCCCCCTTTTTAATAATTCCAAACATTTGGATTCTAACTTTATTTAACAACAAAAAAGTAGTATAAAATGTGTCCAGAAGTAAACAAACATTATGCAGTTATATATTAGCTTTTATATTGATTTTATGCATGCATTTAATAAAAAAAATATTTTTTTTTGTTTTATTTATTAATTTCTTGCCATCAAACAGTACCATCTGTTTAAAACTCCTTGTGTACATTCTGCAAAAAAAATTTAGGGGTATGATAACATTCTTATTTTCAATGAAACTTTATTTTATCACTAAATGATTTGCTAATAGATAAACAGAAGAAAAGGTAGGTACTTACTGTGGTGCCACTGTCCTATGTTGAGGCATGTCTTGCATTGACATTAGCGCTGTCCCTTTAATCACAGCGTGAAGTAGTCCGACATGACACGCCCCCTGCTGCCAGCCTGCTTTTTATTCAAACACATGACGTAATTCATAATCCAGAAATGTTATACCCGTCTTCTCTCCTCAGTGGGCGCTACTGTAGTGCGGTGACGTCTTATCAAAACACGAGCACGCCTTTGTTCCTACAGAGATGCGCATTTTCTCGGGCGCAGTTCGTGTTCGTGAAGGAACGCGCGCTCTTCATCCACTTGTCTGCACGTTGATGGAGATGCAAACTGAGATCGATAATAGCATTTATGCAGCTACAGAGAAATACGTGCACTAAGCATACAAACTCAGACTGCACGATTTATGATTCTTTTATCCTATTGTGTGAACAATAAGTGGCACTAAAATGCTGTCACTGAAGATCTAACAGCATTGTTTCCCACTTCTCTATTCATTCCTTATCTTTTTAAAATCATCCCTCCCCCTCTCCTGTCTCCCTCTCCTTTGTTCCACTAACCCTGAGTAGATAGAAAATCCTGCAGGTGTCTTTTCTATTTGCATTTACTATGATCATTAGACACTACGTCTAAAATGAACATTTAACATTGCTGGATGCTGATAATAGAATGATGTGTTTTAGGCCACAGTCTCTTATAAGACATGCATTTTTGTTTGTTTTCGGCCTGTGTAAAGGATTGTTTCTGAGAATATTGATATAGATTCATGTTTGTCATTGGAGAGGGTCACTATAATATCAGTGCTCTCTGATATGGGATTGATAGGGATCTGCAGTGTGCAGTGTTGGTGTCATTTAAAACAAAAACACAGAGCACGTGGGGTAAGTACAGGTGACAAAACTATCTTCTACTGCCACCTTAAGACCACAAAGAGAAATTACAAGAGGATTGTATTTTAATTTAATTTAATTTAATTTATTTTAATTTAATGTATGATCATGAAGACATATACAACGCTTTAAAACTAAGATGCTACCTGTTTTTATTCATGCATGCATTCTCTATCCATTCGTGCACATTACATTTTGGTGGAAATATATTAATTGTTAATTTTTTTACTTTTCTTATGGTATTTACACTTATAATTCAACCCGACCCATTTCATAAGAGGTGTTCCTTATAATACAAGATCTAAAGAAACTAGCTATGTGAGTTCGTGCTTATCTGATTTGTGATATTAATTGTCATCTTAGCATTTAACAATCAGAACCAGTACAGCTGTTATAACTATTTAAGCATATACAGTTCAAGTCAGAATTATTAGCCCCCCTGTTTATTTTTTTTCCCCAATTTCTGTTTAACAGAGAGGAGATTTTTTTTCAACACATTACTAAACATAATAGTTTTAATAACTCATTTCTAATAACTGACTTATTTTATCTTTGCCACAATGCCAGTAAATAATATTTGACTTAATATTTTTCAAGACACTTCTATAGAGCTTAAAGTGACATTTAAAGGCTTAACTAGGTTAATTAGGTTTACTAGGCAGGTTAGGGTAATTAGGCATGTTATTGTGAAATGATGGTTTGTTCTGTAGACTATCAAAAAATATAGGCTAAAGAGGCTAATAATTTTGACCTTAAATTTGTTTTAAAATATGAAAACTGCTTTTATTATAGCCAAAATAAAACAAGTAAGACTTTCTCAGGAAGAAGAAATATTATCAGACATAATGTGAAAATGTCCTTGCTGTGTTAAACATCATTTGGGAAATATTTAAAAAAAGAAAAACAAATTCAAAGAGGGACTAATAATTCTGACTTTAACTGTATACATAAACGACACTAGAATTACTCAAGTTAATTAGCAAATGTTAAGGTAATTCAATATATGTATATGTAGTGCTCAACAATTAAGAGTACACCCCTTACAAATCTTTCATTTTAATTATAATTTTCTATAGGAAGCTTTACGATAATAAATTGGTGCATATACATTTGATTGGCCAGTACTGAAGCCAAATCTGGAGCTAATTTGATAACATAACTCATGATAATGATCCAAAATTAGTACACCCAAATTTATATGTTAGGTAAAAAAATTAAACAAAAAATGAAAAAAGCAAAACTCAAGAAAAACAAAAAATGTATACAATTTTGTTGACATTTTTTTGTTTGTGATTTTGTTTTCCAATATGTTGCATGAATTTCAATCTATTATCTTTCTATTTCTAAAGATGTTCGGTGACAAATATTATTTAAATAAATAAATTGATAAAAATATTCATTTGCAAAATGGGGTGTACTCATATATGAGCACTGTATTTAATTTTGATTTATGTCTAAATTGAGATACTCATAATTATGAAATTAAGTTGAAATGATGACAAATAATTAAATGAACTACTTAACTAACATAATGATTTCTCATTGTTTGAATTAATAGTCACAATTAGGACTTAAAAATAATAAAGTCATTATGACAGTCATTTGACAAAATTATTCACGCCATTTTTTCTTAAATTCATAATTGGAAAACACTGCTCAAAAAAATCTGACAATCATAAATATGACAAACAATTACTTGCATCAATTCATTTTTAATCTCATAATTTAAACATTTTATGTCATAAGTCTTATTTTTTATGCCAATTATGCTTATTATATCATAATTGTTTTATGTGTAGCAGCAAATGACTTTTATATTTAAGCAAGCATAAATGCATAAATAGACAGGAGACATGCAACACTGAAATATTTATGTTGCCATTACATTAAGAATAAACTTTGTCTTCCTCACAGAGGGAGTGTTTTCAAAAGTACATACACTAAACACTACAGATTATATAATCCACTAGAGGGTGCTAGACATCTTCTCATTTGGCAGCATACGCAATATCTCCCTGCGCATGATGAGATGTACTTTTGCACATTAATGGTGCAGTGGGGATATGAAAGATTCCCATTGCTGTTGAAAATAGCAGGCTTACAGTCTGTTCATGGTGATGGACTTGTACCATTTTTAGATCATGACTGACTCCGATCTCCACTTATCCAGTATTGTTCTGTCTGCATCTCTGCAAGGCGAGACACTGTCCTCTGGAAGGCAAAGATCTCTTCATCCGCAGTGAACAGAGTAATTCGCTTGCTGGCCTCCTGAACAAATAAATGAATTTTAATAAGCAGTTATTATACATTCTACAGGACTCAGCAAAGAATCATCAGGGCTAAATATATATATATATATATATATATATATATATATATATATATATATATATATATAAAACTAATGCAGTATATTTTTTTATATTACCATACAAACATAAGCCAGGGGTCTCCAAACTCTGTCCTGGAGGGCCGGTGTCGTGCAAAGTTTAGTTCAAACCCCAATCAGACACACACGGACTAGCTAGAAACATCTTTGCAGGTGTGTTGAGGCAATGTGGAGCTAAAATCTGCAGGACGCGCCCTGTAGGACCAAGTTTGGACACCCTTGACATAAACAATTACATTTATAGCACAGTGGAGTTCAATGCTGCATACACTAGTCAAGCAGAATCTGCCTTCATTTGCTCACTGACATCTCTGCATTTTGCTCTATCCAGTGGGTGAGAGTTAAAAATCAGATTTATTTAACTGAAACATTCAATTTCTGTTAGCTTTTTGTAGCTAAGCAATAAAACAAAAGATTACATTAAATTAGAAATGACACTCTCTAAACCAGGGGTGGCCAACCCTGTTCCTGGAGAGCCACCTTCAAGCAGATTTCAGTTGCTACCCATATCAAACACACCTGAATCAATTAATTAGGACCTGAACACCACGTGATAATTACAGGCAGGTGTGTTTGTGTTTGATGATGTTTAACAGAGCAAGGAAATTTTCACTGTATGTCTGATAATATTTTTTTCTTCTGGAGAAAACTTATTTGTTTTATTTCGACTAGGATAAAAGCAGTTTTAATTTTTAAAACACAATTTTAGGGACAAAATTATTAGCCCCTTTAAGCTATATTTTTTCTCAATAATCTACAGAACAAACCACTGTTATACAATAACTTGCCTAATTACCCTAACCTGCCTAGGTAACCTAATTAACCTAGTTAAGCCTTTTGAATGTCAATTTAAGCTGTATAGAAGTGTCTTGAAAAATATCTAGTAAAATATTATTTACAGTCATCATGGCAAAGATAAAATAAATCAGTTATTAGAGATGAGTTATTAAAACTATTATGTTTAGAAATGTGTTGAAAATATTTGCTCTCCGTTAAACAGAAATTGGGGAAAAAATAAACAAGCGGTCTAAAAATTCAGGGGGGCTAATAATTCTGACTTCAAATGTATGTTACATTATGTGTACTGAGAGTGTTTGTTTAGGGAATGTAAAGTAAAATTATAATGTATTGCCAATAGGTGGCAGTGTTTTGGTTCTATCATTACATCAGTCAGGCCGAGTTCATCCAGCATTAGGCGATCTCTCGCTTCTTCACCAGTCATCTGTCCCTGATCAAGGAGACGGTCTAACGGTGCATCAGCCAACATCACCACTCTAACCTGAGAGTTTTACACAGAGAGATGGTGACAAACTAGATATGTTGCTGTTAAAGAGATAGTTCAACCTAAAATGAAATTTTACCAATCATTTACTCGCCCTTAAGTGGTTTCAAACCTTTATGAGTTTCCTTTATATGTTGAATGAAAAAGATGTTTTGAAAAATACTATATATACAATCTATATATATACAAAAATACAATCTAACATGTTTCAGAATAACTTCTTTTGTGTTCATTACAAAAAAGAAACTCAAATAGATTTATGACAAGAGAAAGGTCAGTAAATGATTACAGAATTTTCGGTTTTGTGTGAACTATCCCTTTAAATGATTACACAGGTGATCAACAATGTATGAAACAAATGTTGCAGCGGTATATTACAGTAGTTATTTTTAGTTCTGAATATTGACATGCTTGAGGAGAGTCTTGTTGCACAATACCTTTTGATCATAGAAGTTGTCGATGAGTGTAGTGAAACGTCTCGCCTGGTCCTTCATTCCGAGTTGAAGGTAAGGAACATTACGTATGATGACCGTGTCAAAACAGCGTGCGATTTCTAAATAATCGCCTGCACCCAGTGGCTTTAAACAACAAACAAACACACAAATAGGTAACATTAAAGGCATAATCTAATCAAAAATGAACATCTGCTGTTCATTTTACAAATCAGCAGGCTATAAATAAAATAACATTTGAAACAAGTTATTTTAGATGATGTTTCATTAGGAAAGCATTAAAGATTTTTCGATGAAACTATAGTGGTGATTCATAAAATGCAGGTTGATGGGAATCATTATATCAGTGTCTTAAACTCTGACTTGTTTTATGTTCAATCCACTAAGATTTGTAAAAAAAAACAAAACAGTTAAGTTAACTTAATTAATTTTTGTTGGGATGACCTGAAGAAATTATGTGGAACCTAACATGTGTATGAAGTGAAACTATCAATCTATGCAAGGAACTGATCATTATTTACAAGCTAAATGGTCTAAAGTGATGCTGTTGAACCGGCTGGATGACCAAGTTCACAAAATCTAACGAATCTTTGATGCTGTCTACAAGTCAATCAATCAAGTCCGACAGTCTCTTAGGCCCAATCCCAATTCTATTTTTGTATCCCTACTCCTTCACCTTGGCCATACCTGCCAACACTACAGTTTTTCCAGAGAGTCTCCTGTGTTTCAGACCCATCTCCCATTTTGTTCTGTCTCCAGTAAAACTCCAGGAATTTCACCCCAACCCCAATCCCCCCGCCATTGTAGCGCGACACTGTTTGCTGCAGAGCCACTTGAGCTCCAGAGAGAGGGGGAGCTTGAGCTCCAACTCCTCCTCGTATAAGCTGTTTTAATGTGTACATCCACCCCACTCCTAACCCCAACCCCAGTGACATCACTTGTAGAAGAAGTGCAATGAAGCTGGAGCTGGAGCTAAACCCCTTGCTAGAGCTCAGCTCTGCCCAAGTGGCTCTGCAGTGAGCACAACTGTAGCTGGTTTATTCTGAGAAATTTTGTGGTCCTGAAAAATCTCAGTTTCAAGGGCTATCTAGCCCTTCCCCTTAGCCCCTACTCCTTCACATGAATGCGCAAAACGAGGGGTAGGGAGAAGGGCATAGAATTGGGATTGGGCCTAAGACTCAAAAATCAACCAATATACTAGCATATTTTTTCCTACCATGCCAGAATTTTTTTGATATTTATTTTTCGTCTACTTATCCTGTTTTCAAATAACTCAAACAGCGATTGAATTGAAGAAGCTGATCCAATTTGGACAGAAGAATAGATAAACCGGTGTTAAACACACTTTCTCATTTTGTTTTGAGAGTATATGAATTATTGACTCTCAAAGTGCTAGTAAGCATTGACATGAATCATTAAGGACGACAATTCAGCTTTGGATGGCCTGAGGTGAGATGGCTGTTGGTTAAAAAATATTTCTTAAATTGTCAGTGCTGCCTTGTCACTAAAGATTCGAATTTTATTTTAAGACCGCTTGTCAATATGCATGCAAATGTGATCTTAGAATCGAGAAGAAGCTCGACTGATAACTGTTCCTGTGAGCAAAAGAAAGCAGGTGAATACCAAATGAGAGGACGATCATGCGCATAGAGATCTTCACTCGCTGACGTGCAAGTGCTTAAAAGCTCCCGTGTCCCGTTTCCTTTCGTGAAGCAACCGTACCTGGAAACGCCACTGGTGTGATCGTTTCTCTTTGAAAAAGACATGCATGCACAGTCCTGCTACCAAAGACCTGCTACTTTCAAGAGCTTGGGATTTTTTATTAGCAGCAACGATTGCTGCTTCCACTTTAACCATTCTTTGAACAGATTATTAATGAGCCTAACAATAATGATCATGCTTTCATTATCACACACAGAATATCTTTCACCGGCTTTCTTTTGTTTACAGTTATTTTTGTTAATATGGTTATATTATCATCCTTTATAATAACATTGTTTTAATAGGAGATCAACTCTCCATCCACCAGTTAACTGGTGATCTGGGACCTTTAGCCTGGACAGAATACTGTGTATAGTTTTAGATACATGAATTTTTTTTTTTTAAATGTCAATTGTTTTTTAAGAACATTTTTGTTGAATAAAAAGTTATATTTTGCTTGTTTTGGCCCATTATTTGACATTTGTGGCAAGGAAATAATAAGTTTAGTATGGCCAGAGAAGTTAAATCCTTAGTGTTGAACCCTTAGAAGCCATTTGAAATAAAACCAATTGCAATGCAACACTATGGGCCCTATCATACACCCGGCGCAGTGTGGCGCAAGGCGTGGCGCAGTAGTCTTTTGGTAGTTTCAGCTTGGCGCAAGAGTCGTTTTGAGGCGTTGCGCTACGCTGTTTAAATAGCAAATGCATTAGCGCTCATTTGTGCGCCCATAGGCGTTCTGGTCTAAAAAGGAAGACGTTCTGAGGCGGACCGCTGGCGCGTCGCTATTTTGAGAAACTATAATAGATTTTTCATTAGACCAAAACTAACCTGGTCTAAACTCCGGCGCAGAGTCGCGCCTCGCTTACGCACTGCTTAATACGCACAAGAGAGCAATAGGCAAATATCTTTACATATGAAAAAATGTAAATATTAAGGATATATATAGAATATAATAAGAATAGATATAGGATATAAATATAAAGGATTAAAATATTACAAAACATATTATTTTCTAGCCTACATAAATATTAAAAATCACTGCTTTTATGTCTTCTTCATCTCGGGGGCTTTTTCAGTTCATTTATAACAATTTGCTTTTGTATAATGTTATTATTATTAGCAGTATTATTTGATATATCCATATTTACATTTGTTTTATTAAAAACAAGCTTAGATTTGCCCACCTGTCAGGTTTTAGACCATATGGGGCATGGCAGGTGTATTTGGAAATAACTCAGTATTTTGACCACACTTGGTCATTATTGTTCATTTATTCGTTTGCTAGAAATTAGAACTGAATTTAGAAATAGTTTTGAAACAAATCTTTGCGCTTAACAAACGAAATTAATTATTTATAGGCTAATTGATGTCTGTGCGTAAAGGTTTCCCTATCCAAGAGCGAAAGTAAAAGTAGATACATTATCTCTCATTCTCACGCAGTAGATGCTGTTTAACAGTTTTCTGTTAAAACACTGTCAACTGTTAACTGTTTGCTTGTGAAATGCTCATTTTTTCCACTTAGACTTACTTTGCGTCCTGTAAATAGCGAACGCGCTCTTGGCGCAACACAGCTGACTCTTCAAGGGAATGGGAGATGAGACTATAATTGGTTTATTCTCAAAACACACCTATAACTCATTAAGAAAATAAACTCAACCCTTTTAGACCATGCGCCACTGTGCAAGGCAGATTTCCCGTCCTTAAATTAGCAAAAACGCGTCCTGACACGCCCTGAAAGCGTTTCAGGACCGTCAAAATATGGACCAGCGCATGGACCGTCAAAATAGAGCCCTATGTAACTATAACCCACTTGTGGTTAAAGAAAATTAAAAAATCAAATCAAAAAAGTTAAATTAACGAGGAGTCATGTGGACATAGCACAAAATTTAAATCAAGTAATTTTATTATGCCAAAGTCAAATTTATTCATATAAAATGTATTTTGCCAACAACAAAATTGTGGCTAGTGAAAATGGCAAGTGATGCAGGAAAACTACTGGCCACAATGGCTGGTGATCAAAAAAGTTAAAATCAAGCCCTGGTGTACGTTGTATTATTTTTGTATGTATGATAAAATATATACCCAAAACCCACACAAATTCATCTGATTCGGCATCATGAGTCTCTCCATCTGGACAGGAAATGAGAGGGAAACTTCACAGATGTCGTCTCTAAAGTCTTGTCACATACCATTTTACCCATCCATCCATATCTCTCTCATCTAGTGCTTACTCCCTCTTGAATTTTTGTCTCTAATCTTCAGTTTCACCCTATATTCTGCATCTTCTCTGGGTAACATGTATCTCTGTGGTAACTAAGTGGAAAGGCACATTAACACATGCTGACATAGTCTCAGCTGCATTAGCCTGACTATGAAGACGAAGAAGTTGAGGACTCTTCAGACAAATCCACACATGTACAAGCGCGCGCACACACACACACACACACAAACTCACTCACACTCTCAGTACATTGAAGTGAACAGCGCTCTCAAAAGCACTGAAGGACGCAGAGACAGTGCCTCGGCTCCATTAGAGAGCAGCATACTCATCCTTCTTTCCTTCACAAACAAAAAAGAGAGCATCAAACTGGTAAACCAAGTCCAAGGTTACATACATAAACAAGCACACACACACACAGGCTGGCTTATACTAGTCGTGTTGCAGTGATAAAGTGAATTATAGGCAGATGGATGGATGGATCAAGACATGGGCTATAAGTTATTTCGGGAGAGTGGGACGATGGATGTGAAAAACTAAATGGAAAAAAGCAAAGTGATGCATAAAAGAAGAAATTTAGTCTCACTAAGTGGGTAAAATAAGTTGCTTTTGCATTCTGACCAGGAATCAGACTTCTTTTTTCAGGTTAAATTGCATTTTTAAAAATCTAGTAAAGAATTTTGGTGCCTCATGAGGCTTATTCTCATCCCTACAAAATGGGTATATGTAAAGTAAAGTAAAAACCTGTATTTGTTAATACTAGAGATGCTCCGATCGTTCAGCATCAGCCAATAATCATGTTTAATGACTCTGTACTCACTGATCTGGGGGTGCGTTTCCCAAACAACAGTGTAACTCGTGGTGGAACTATCATTGTAGGATCCATTGTTTGGGAAAAGATCGATGTAGTAGTGAGTGCTTCCAAAAACCTGTAGTTTCTCTGTCACAGATCTATTATTTGAACAACGTCAGTTATAACATGAAACGCCCATAATGATGCTCTAAATGGGGTGGTAACAATTTCCTTAGAGAAAACCCCTATAATTTCTTTGTGCAACTTATATTGTTTTACATGCACATGCATTTAAAAAATAATCCAATATTAGTTTTGGTAAAAACATGCACTCGCTTTCCATTTTAATTGGAATATATCTAAACAGCACATATACTGTAGGGCCAATGCTTCCTTTTCAAATATTATTGAGAACATATTCTATTCCAAAACATAAAATCACTTACAAAAGCTAACACGTATTCTAATATCATATATAAATCATGTAAATAAATAAATAATGAGGTGATTTAATGAGAAATGAAATGTAATATTAATAAATATTTATTAGGAAATAAAAAAATCCCACTTTAATAATAATATCAATAATATTAATGATGATGATTATTATTATTGTGATTAAGTAAGATATTGTTTATTTATTTAAATTTTTTTAAAAGTCTACTTTTACAATTTGACGCATGCAAACTACTGCAGAATTGTTCTCACCAGCAGGCCCATAAATAACCTATAAATTACAAGTATTATCGTAAGCTATGTTTTTTGTTTGTTTTTTCACAAGCTTTAGAGACAAAACAAAAATTCCGCTTTTAAATAAAAGGTCATCTATAGCTTTCGTCATAAGCCACGGCCGTGTTTAAAATGTTTTCAAAGTGCACTGCGAAGGGAGCGCAATTGTAAACATGAAGATCGCTAAAACTGAACTGTAAAAATACTTTGAAAGCAAATTACACCTAAGACTGATGACTTTATTGCTTTTAGTAATATAAAAAGTGTAAATAATTCCAAGTTTAAATGTCAGAATGTTCTATACAAATAGGGCATAGGGGGATAACTCAGAATAGAACACAGCCAGCAACTACAGTCGAAGTCAAGATTATTAGCCCCCCTTTGATTTTTTTTTTCTTTTTTAAATATTTCCCAAATGATGTTTTACACAGCAAGGAAATTTTTACAGTATGTCTGATAATATTTTTTCTTTGTTTTATTTCAACTAGAATAAAAGCAGTTTTAAAACACCCTTTTAAGGTCAAAATTATGAGCCCCTTTAGGCTATATATTTTTTCTAAATCTACAGAACAAACCATCAATATACAATAACCTGCCTAAATACCCTATCCTGCCTAGATAACCTAATTTACCCAGTTAAGCCTTTAAATGTCACTTTAAGCTGAATAGAAGTGTCTTGAAAAAGATCTAGTCAAATATTATTTACTGTCATCATGGCAAAGATAAAATAAATCAGTTATAAGAAATGAATTATTAAAACTATTATGTTTAGAAATATGTTGAAGAAATCTTCTCTCCATTAAACAGAAATTGGGGGGGGGGGGGGGGGGGGGGGGGCATAAGGCGGCTAATAATTCTGAGTTCAACTGTATGTATGTATAACCTAAATTGTCAGAAGAGCATATGTGTGTGAATGCAGGAGTGTATAGGTGTTTCCCAGTTAGGGGTTGCAGCTGGAAGACCATCCGCCTCGTAAAACATATGCTGGATAAGTTGGCAGTTCAATCTGCTGTAGCGACGCCTGATTAATAAAGGGACTAAGCCGAAAATAAAAATGAAATGAATATTTAATGATAACACTTTTGTTACTTACAATACACAGTACTTTATAGACCTATACTTACTTTTAGTAAAGAAGTATTAGACTTATAGGTTTGCATTTTAAATTCTTATGCATCCAACATGCACTCCAAACTTTTTTTTATGTATTATACTTAGAGGGAAGTGTGCTTTCTGCATAATAAAGCTTAAAGCATCAGAATTGTTTCTCTGTATCGGCCGATTTCCATGACAAGGAATCGGTACTCAGTATCGGCTGCAAAAATCCTGATTGGAGCATCCTTAGTTAATACTAATCAAAAATTTGAACTTTGAAGAAATAAATACTTTTATGAGGAATGCATTAAATAGATGAAGTGATAATAAAGATTATTGTATTGTGGCAACAAAATGTGTTTAAATACTGCATTATTTATTAAACATCATGTCCCAGTTTATACAAAAAAATAATAACACTTTATAACAGGGCTTATCAGCAAAACATTAGTTAATGAATTAATGTAATGTAATGTACATTAGGCCTATTTTTGCTTTTTTTAATGAAACTTTTGAGTGTTAAAAGTAAAACAGCTTTGTTGTGATTAGGAACCAAAAATTAAAAAGAGTGCTTAAAGTCTGCATGAAATCATGATTGCATATTGTTAGACTTAAAGGTATCCACCTTTTTCTTTTGAGAAAGGCTTATTTTACAAGTCTAATAGAGTTAAACAGTTGACTTGAACCTCTTTTGAATCCAATGAGCAGATTTCTTGTTCTGAAATAAACCGAAGGCATAATGATCCTTGCATAATGCACTGCAAACTAAGCCGAGGCGTTCATTCTATATATAAACTAAAAGCATTAAAAAAGTAATGCAAAAAAAGCAACAACAAAAAAACAACTACTATATGCTATCGGATAGAGTCAAAACAGGGGCCTCTTAACAAGTGAATTACAGTTATTAAAAATGTTGCATTTATAAAATAAAGGATCTACGAATGAAAGATTTTTAAATGCAAGTCATTATGATTTTATCTCAGAGCTTGTGTGCGTTTTCTCCATATCACTTGCTGCAAGTTCAAGTGAGCATGATAATATAAGTAATAAGACTGGCACAGAAATATCAGGCTTTCCAGAGAGACCTGCAATGAGGGATATAAGTGGTATTCAAGATCTTATAGGACATTTTATTTCCTTATTTAGAAGCCTAATCTTGACAACAACAGATCCTATCAATGTCATAATGGATAATCCCCTAAATAATGTAGTTGACATTAAGTGTTCATTGATTGTGTCTGTCAAATGTAGCTCTGTATGTTCTGTACAGAAGCTCTCATGTCTCCATGGTACAGCAGCAGCGTTTCTTGACTATTGCGCCAGAATGAGAGTATAGTTCCCAGCAATATTGGCCTAGAAAGTAGCTTTTTTATTTTTCATTTTTCTGTTTCAAAATGTATCTACAGAAGAGTCCAACCTTAAATAGGAAAAATATAAAAACACTTTTTTTTTTTTTGGAACGAAATGCTAATGGTCAAATTCGATTCAATTCATTATGCCAAGCTAAGGTAAAAGTGACCCCGCCAGAAAATCTGCCAGAAATTGGCTAAATAGATTTGAAAAAAATGGTTCAAGTCGACTGTTTAACTCTAGAAGATCTGGAGTGTTCCTTTAATGTGAACAATAAGTCAGTGCCAGTTAATCCACTAAAGAAGAAAAGTTTGATTTAGTAATTTTCAGATCAAAATCTGAATCCGAGTCTCAGATGACACCAGTTTGACAGCGAACAATGCTTAGCCCTGCACCTCCAACCACTAGTTTGCTGCAAGTGAAAGATGAGAAAAGCAGCTCAAAAATAAAATGCCACTCAATATTCCATTTCAGTTGGAATTACATCATCATACAATGAAAAAAATTCTTGCTGCATTACATTTATTAGTTTAATCAAATGAAGTTTTCAGATCATCTCAACTGAGATCAAACTGACTAAAAATATTTAGTTAAAATTTTTATAACTAAAAAAATAAGTAAAAACCTGATTAGCTTATTAAAATAAGTTAAAGCAACATAACCTGTGTTTTACAGTGCATTGAAATAAAGATCTGCATAACATTCAGTTAATTAATTGACTAAATGCAAACAGAATTCCATATAAACTCTTAATATTTTTTGTAAAGTCCATTCATGGCCAGTTTAACCTCTTGCATATGAACTTTTTAAACTTGTGTAAAATACACCACAAACCAGATCTCATTCACAGACTCACTTGCTCACAGAGTTCCTGGAAGCTGCAATCTGCAATGGTTCCGCAGGTCCGGCTCAGGGTTACTTCTCTTCCCTGGACATTCAACACCCTCGGCCTGGTCACTTTAAATGTTCAATTGCACACATAGATTTACTACAGTTACACCTAAAACCTTCAGCACTGAAACAACAAGGCATACACTGTTAGACCTTGCCCTAATTTGACAGCTATTTACAGCAAAAACACCCAGAAAAATACCACATACATTCTTTACAGTTCACTACTGTAATGTCCACAGCACTGTAGGCCATTTGAAATCTTTTACAGTAACTTACTGCATATTAGGAATTTGCGGTATTCTACTGTAATCAAGTACTGCTTTTGTAGTTGAGACAAAATTGAGACAGTTGATGAAAACAATTGTCACTTATTTCGAATTTATTGAATTCAACAGTAAATAAATAGTAAAAAATAAAGATTTTGTATTGCTCGTGTGAAACGTAAGAAAATACAGTAAAATTATTGTCAAATGGTAATACTGTAAAATTTAAATGTGGTAAAGGGCAGATTACTATAAAAAGAAGTTGTTTTTTATTGTAAAATTAAATTGTGGTTGTGCCCTGCTACTGTAAAGCACATTTACGGGTAAGTTACTGTTAAGCGGCAGTTGAGGTAACTTGCTGGAAACAATGCTGCCAGTATGTTACCGCTAAACACAATAAAATATCTAACAGTGTACACATAAAAACCTTACAAACTCAAACCCCACGCACCAAGTCAAGGAAACATCCACACTTAACCTTAAAACCCCATCCATGCAAAGGCAAATGAACTTGCTCACCATCATTTTGTCTGAATGCCAGTTCCTCAAACAGCGCATTGACAGCATTCTCTGCATCAGGCTCACTTGATCTATGGAAAGCGAGTGAAAGAGAGAGATAATTGAATATGAAATTAAGCATGTTTGAAGTGGTCACATCAAACAGTGCGCGCTGAAGGCCTGTGTTTGAATTTCCACAGTGCCTCAATGAAACAGGATGCTGGATTCAAAACGCAAACATTGAGAGAGTGTGAATAAGAGAGAGCAGCAATCAGGTGTCAGCAAACACATGCATATTAACATCCTCCAAAAGAGCGGCTGTTGAGATAAAGGGTTTATAATAAGTCAGATAAAGGCGACGCGTGTATGTTTATATCAATGTGCCCTCACACATTGACATTCATTTGCAGTTGTTTTCTTTTCTCTGATTGGTAGTCGAGTCCAGAGCCACGGTGACATGTTTCATTAGTTTTTTACTTTGTTGCTTTATTTGTTTGTGTATTATTACAAATCTACCTGACATTAAAACATTTATGTGAGGAAAAATAAGTGCTTTTTTAATAGATATATAGTAGGGCTGGGACAAAATATCAATATGGCAATTTATTTTATTTATATTACTCTAGTGCCAAGTATGGATATTTATATATTTATATTGTACAAAAGATCTCATTTAATTCATCACTCTTTAACTGCGGCATTTTACCACTTTGGTGTTTGGCTTGGCTAAATAAGTGTCTAAAGTTCACAGAAAATGAAATTGAGTTTTTGGGATGCTGCTGGTTTATGACTAATTTTGAGATGTGACCTTTTTAGTCACAAACTGCTCTCTGCTGCACATCAGAATTTTCAAGCTTTTTTGACAGCTGTGAACTTTTATGCATTTTTCCCCTTCATTTACAAATATTGTGACGTATCGTGGATAGATCGGGGAAAGTTACTTTTGAAAGTAATGCATTACAATAATGAGTTACTCCCCAAAATAGTAACTAGGTGCGTTACATAATTAGTTTATATAGTAAGTATTATTATTAAAAGTGTTACGTTACTTTTAAGTTAGTTTAGCATTGCTTTTTTATTATCTCTTTCAGAACTTTTTATTTATTTATTTTTTTTTAAAGAGGAGTTCTGCAGTTAACAACACACTGTATAACCTTCATTTACCTTTAATTAAAACACATCAAAAGTATATTAGAATGATGTTGTATATTAGAATTAATGAAATTTTAAAGCAATGTGTTTGCTACTTTTCTTACTATTTGTCTTTGTCTTATTGACACTGTCCCTTTTCCTTTTCTTCAAGGCTTTCAAAATAAGGAACACATTCACTCACTGACTGCGTTATTCATTGTGACTTCTTTGATTTTAATTCAGTTGATTAATTAAAATCAATTCATTACTTTACTAGTTAATTAGAAAATTATTTCAAATAATTAATATTTCAAATAAAAAATAATAAAAAATAAAATAAATAAATAAATATATAAATAAATAAATATATATATATATATATATATATATATATATATATATATATATATATATATATATATATATATATAAAGAAATAATAATATATATGGGTGAAGCAGTGGCGCAGTAGGTAGTGCTGTCGCCTCACAGCAAGAAGGTCGCTGGGTTGCTGGTTTGAGCCTCTGCTCAGTTGCCGTTTCTGTGTGGAGTTTGCATGTTCTCCCTGTGTTTGCGTGGGTTTCCTCCGGGTGCTCCGGGTTTCCCCCACAGTCCAAAGACATGCAGTACAGGTGAATTGGGTAGGCTAAATTGTCCGCAGTTTATGAGCGAGTGTGTGGATGTTTCCCAGAGATGGGTTGCGGCTGGAAGGGCATCTGCTGCGTAAAAAAACTTGCTAACCCCAAACTACTTTACAGCTTTTTATTTGCAGTTGAAGTAAGAATTATTACTCCCCCACACACAGTTTTAGTTTTCCCTGAGTTTCTGTGTAATGTAGAGCAGATTTCTTCAACACATTTCTTTACAGAATAGATTTATTAACTCATTTCTATAATTTATTTTATCTTTGCCATAATGACAGTAAACAATATTTGACTAGATTTTTTAACACACTTCTATTTAACTTAAAGTGACATTTAAAGGCTTAACTAGGCTAACTAGGCAGGTTTGGGTAGTTAGGCAAGTTATTGTATAACGATGGTTTGTTCTGTAGACTATCGAAACAAATATATAGCTAAAAGGGGCTAATAATTCTGACCTTAAAATGTTTTTTAAAAAATTTAAAGTCTTTCTCCAGAATTTTTTTTTATCAGACATACTGTGAAAATTTCCTTGCTCTGTTTAACATCATTTGGAAAATTGAAAAAAAGAAAAAAATTCAAAGGGGGGTTAATAATTCTGACTTCAACTGTATGTTATAACAACATCGTTCTCTAGTGCGGTACTCTCAAATGATCATTTGTCTTACATGTAGTATAATCTTCCTGCTGGTTTCATTTCCCTCGTCCGGAAATCTATTCCAGTGTCCAGACTGACAATCCGACAGTACTCCTGTGTGACAAAAAGAGAAATGTGATCAGAATTAGAGTGACGTTGTTTCAAGTTTTGTTTTTGCTGTTTACTTTGGTTAGCCAAACCTAGTTCACCCCTAGATGGTGACAATGCCACATGGACGTTGTGAATGCACTCATTTTAATTGCTACAACCAAATAATATTCACACCATGTGATCCATATTATCCAAATAAAAGCCATTCGATTAAGCCTTACATTAAGTCTGAACTTTTCTAATGACTCTAAACTACTGGAAACTCTTTTAGCATCCAGGAATTACCATGTAATCTCATTCAGTCTAAACAATTAATACATTCTTATTGATGAATTAGGGTACAAGATTAAGGGATAAACTTGAGCAGCTTTCACAATGCAAGTGTACAGATTTTATAATGGCACCTTTGCACTTGTTCTTGTGTATTATAAAACTGTCAAATTGCTAACTGATATTTAGTTAAAGGTATAATTTACTCAAAAAAAAAAAAAAAAGGAAAGAAAGAAAATGATGTAGGTATTCACTTACACTTTGCAAACCTTTTGGAAAAAAAGGTATTTTGAAGAAAGTTGGAAACTAAAAGCCAGTAGTTGTTTCCATCCACCTATCTCTGGTATTATTATTATTTTTAACAACAATTGTTTTTTCAAACATTGTCATACAAATTGACAAAGGTTTTACATTTTCAGTTTTTCCAAAAAAAAAAAAAAAAAAATACAACAAAAATAATATATAAATTCGAAATAACTTGATACACTTTGAAAGAATTAATAATATTAACCCTATAGCAATAACATATTTGTCTAATCTGTATACATTCATTATCTATCAGTTCAACAAAAGAGTCACCATCTAGACCAGGGGTGCCCAAACTTTTTTCTAGGGCCAAAAACCAAACTTGATTGCGGGTGGCTGAAGTTAAATCAACTAAACTGTTATAGGGTAATTTCTTAATTTATTCATAATTAAAAGTCAATTTACCTAAAAAAAGAATAAATATATATCATATAAATAATTATTTACTTTTTTACATTTTATAATGAACTTCTTACAATAAAAACAAACAATCCCATTTGAATACATTTGATTTGCACGTTGATGACCTTAACAGTTTTTAAAATCAGATTCATGCACAACATTTAATTGGAAGATGTATTTTCATTTGCTTTTTCATATCTCAACAATTAAATAAACAAACAAAAGGTTAAGTTCAAATTAGAAAAGACGAGCTCAGTCGTAGGCACTGAGCTTAACCTTCCCATCATTCTCCCTCTCTTCTCAGATGGAATGGTGGACCAAATCAAAGGTTAACATGGGCCAACTTTGGCCCGTAGGCTCTAGTTTGGGCGTCTCTGATCTAGACTCCCTAAAAAGTCCTAGAATACTTTCCATACAACAGGACTGTCTTCCTTCTATTTTTTCCAAGAACATGCAATTACATCTTTAGCTTCCAGCAAGGCTTCGGTATTATTACCTTTAAGAACTTTCTTGAGCATCTTCATTGCTTTTATGTATTATATATTTATTAAATAAGGAAAAAGAGCCAGTTTGGCTTCTCCCACTACAGAACATGCAATTTTTCTTTTTAATAATTGGTGCTAGTTTATCAGGAAATGACGATTTTGTTTTCTTTGACTTATTGGATGGAAATGATTCTTTATTCGCAAATGTGTTATGTGATATTCCAGTTTTGCTCAATCTTATTGACTTCCATTTTATTTTCTACTATAGAAATCAATGGCTACCAGCTTCCAACCTTGTGCAAAATATCTGCTTTTATTCAACAGAAACTAAACGTTTTGCAGCCACTTAAAGTTGAATAAACAGGGAGTTAGTTTTCATTGTCGGGTGAAAGCAGAGATGCCCAAAGTAGGGCCAGCGGGCCAAAGTTGGTCCATTGTAACCTTTGATTTGGCTCAGCATCCCATCCGAGAGAAGAGTGAGAAAGAGTGAGAATGAAGAAGAGGGTTGTGGTGAATGCCTTTCTAATTTGCCAGAATATTTTTTTGTTTGTGTTATTGCTGAACTACAAAAAAAGCAAACTGAAATGAAATGTTTCAATCAAATGTAAATGAATCAGATTTTTAAAAACGTAAATACTGTCACTCGATGAATAGAGGACTATGCAGAAGACATCAGCAAGCAAGGCAAAAACTAGTCTAATTCTGTTATAAATGAGACTGTTTTGTTGTAATAAGTTCATTATACAATGTAAAAAATACTTTATTAGTTAATATAAAGCAGTGTTTTCTAGTCATTTTAAACTTTATAAAATAAATTAGGAAATTACCCCTGGTAAATTGTCCCACCTATATTTATCTTTAGCCCACTAGCCTTTATCATGTTTGGTTCCTGGCCAAGTTTGGGCACCCCTGCTTTAAAGAGTCAAATGAATTGATGCACACTAACTAAACATGTCATTCCCTCAGTTTTTTGGCACGACTGTGAGGAACCACAGCATATCAAACCTCAGTGATGAAAAAAAAAAACATTAAAACGGAACAAAATGCTGGAGAAATGATGACAAAAATGACTGATGAAAAGGAAGGGTGATTATTTTTAACAGGATGTGGATAATATGTGGTATTTAGGCGAGAGGCCTTTGCCTGAATCAGTCCTCAATGACAGCTCCAGCGAATTATGAAATCAGTGAATTTTCCGCCACCCTCCTCCTTGAACTAAAGATAATTAGCAATCACCACACAGAGCGAGAGAGGAGCGATCTATTCCTCTTCTTTCTGTATCTCTCGCCTCTTCCCCCCATTCTCCGCCGCTGTCAACTTTTCTCTCTCGAGCTCAGAGTTCCTCGTCCGAGCCAATTGGCTGAATCAGCCGTAATGACAGGCTGACAAACCATGAGCAGGAGAACACAAAAGGAAAAGTGTCACTTCATCAACCCTGCTCGACCTTGTCACCAGGCGGCCATGTAAACAGCCGGCAACGACCACGACAGCACCGCGCTTCCATCAAAACCAGCTATTCCTCCACACATCCTGTCTGTCTGTTTTTTTTTTCTTATAGTAAAAACTTTCCATTTGCGTGAGTATATCTTAACGGTTGATGGGCCATCTCTCAGGAGAGTAATCGTGAGGAGAGAGAGAGAAAGAGGGGGAGAGGAATACAATCAGTAATGATTCCAGTGCTTGGTGCTTTATAATCAGTTGAAGACACGTCCTCTTGTGGATCATTGCATGATTATGGCCTTTGATGGGTTCATTAAAGACTCATAACTCCTCAAAGATCTTCATCGTCGGCACTTTGGATGCACTTCGCCACACAACTCTGATGCACATGCTCGGCCTTCAACAAAACAGCCCCTGTTAAGCTGGAACTCCTAACTGACCAACATTTATTTGAAATGTTTGTTTTAGTTTAGTTTTAGCACCAGCTGGAAGTAAGATCAGTTTTAGGGCAGTTGTTTAGTGGGCAATTTGAGCAACTTTGACAACTTTTTTTAAACTGAAAGCCTCTGAATTATCACTTTAACAACATCTCACTAACTTCTGTTTCCAAAGATGTCAAACAATTTATTTCTGACTTCCCAGTATCATTTGCAAACATTATACATGATATTCCAAACGTTGAAAATAAACTAATAAATAGAAAATATTGATTAAGTAAATACATAAAAATATATAAACAGAAACAATATCAAGTAAATATTTTAGGTCATTTTATAATTTAGTCATAATTAGTTTAATTATAGTTTAATCTTAAATGTAATATTTAAAAATATATTCTATATTTTCTTGTCACATGGCAGATTTGACAAAAAATTTAATCTTTAACATCTATTTTTTTTTTTTGTAATACAATGCATGTCCATATTACACGACGGCCATTTAATTTATGGCTACATTACCTGACATATATTGCAAAATATAGATAAATTAAAATTGTTCATCTTATTATTATTACTATTCTTCTTCTTATTATTATTATTATTATTATACTTATTATAAATAATAATAATAAATCCATGCATGCATTTGCTTACATAAAAAATAAATTATTATTAAAAATAATAATAATAACTAGATTCTTAAAGTTTGAGAACAAACTTTGAGGCTGGCTTGTGAAAGCCTGACGGTAATAGTTTATTTAAACAGTTTTAAAAAGTGCGAAAAGATAGATAGATAGATAGATAGATAGATAGATAGATAGATAGATAGATAGATAGATAGATAGATAGATAGATAGATTAACATGTTATTAGCATGATTTTAACGTGAAATAGCATGTTGTTAGCATGATTCTAGCATGAATTAGCATGTTACTAGCATGATTTTAGCATGAATTAGCATGTTGTTAGCATGATTTTAGTATGAATTAGCATGTTATTAGCATGAATTAGCATGTTGTTAGCATGATTCTAGCATGTTGTTAGCACGATTCTAGCATGAATTAGCATGTTACTAGCATGATTCTAGCATGAATTAGCATGTACCTAGCATGATTTTAACATGAATTAGCATGTTACTAGCATGATTTTAGCATGAATTAACACGATTCTAGCATGAATTAGCATGTTGTTAGCATAATTCTAGCATGAATTAGCATGTTCTTAGCATGATTCTAGCATGAATTAGCATGTTACTAGCATGATTCTAGCATGAATTAGCATGTTACTAGCATGATTCTAGCATGAATTAGCATGTTGTTAGCATGATTCTAGCATGAAATAGCATGTTACTAGCATGATTCTAGCATGAATTAGCAAGTTGTTAGCATGATTCTAGCATGAATTAGCATGTTGTTAGCATGCTTCTAGCATGAATTAGCATGTTACTAGCATGATTCTAGCATGAATTAGCATGTTGTTAGCATGAATCTAGCATGAATTAGCATGTTGTTAGCATGATTCTAGCATGAAATAGCATGTTACTAGCATGATTCTAGCATGAATTAGCAAGTTGTTAGCATGATTCTAGCATGAATTAGCATGTTGTTAGCATGCTTCTAGCATGAATTAGCATGTTACTAGCATGATTCTAGCATGAATT